CCTCGCTCCTCCCTCCTCCTCGTCCTCCCTCCCTCCCTCTCGCTCCTCTCTCTCCCTCTCTCCCCCCTCCTTCCTCCCTCTCTCCTCTCTCTTTCGCTCCCCTCCCCTCCCTTCTCTCTCCTCTCCCCCTCCCTCGCCTCTCTCCCTCCCCTCCCTCCCTCTCTCCCTCTCCTCCCTCTCTCCTTCCTCCCCTCCCTCCCTCTCTCCCCTCCCTCCCTCTCTCCTCCCTCCCTCTCCTCCCTCCCTCCCTCTCCTCCTCTCCTCCTCCTCCCCTCTCCTCCCTCTCTCCCTCCCTCCTCTCTCCTCCTCGTCTCTCTCCCTCCCTCATTCTCCTCTCTCCCTCCCTCCCTTCCCGCCTCTCTCCTCCCCTCCCCGCCCTCTCTCGTCTTCTCCCGCTCTCTCTCTCTCTCTCTCTCTCTCTCTCTTCTTCTCTCGCTCTCTCTCTCTCTTCTCTTCTCTCTCTCTCTCTCTCTCTCTCTCTCTCTCTCTCCTCTCTCTCTCTCTCTCTTCTCTCTCCTCTCTCTCCTCTCTCTTCTCTCTCTCTCCTCTCTCTCTCTCCCTCTCTCTCTCTCTCTTTACCCGCCTACCTACTTACCTATCTATCAATCTATTTATCTATCTTTCTCAGAAATGATTGCACGCCTTTTCAATTTAACGCAAAGCTGCTGGTCTCGTTATTCCTATTAAGGAGGATCGATGTCGAAAGCTTTCTCTTCGCCAGGTCGTAAATGCCCTTGCCTTTGCATTTTCTTCTTCTTCTTCTTCTTCTTCTTCTTCCTCTTTCTTTCTTTTTTTCTTTTTCTTTTTTTTCATTGTTTGAAATTGTCGATTTTTTTTATGCTTTTTGTTTTTTTATTTCAATTTTATTGAGATTGTCGTGCTTTTAGTCATCCAAAACGTAAAATAATTTTGATAAAAGTGAAGCTTGATAAGACTGAGCAGAATGCACGACAGAGTTGCTGCAATTTGATCGAGTCTCGGTAAACCTAGAGCGTGGGACAAGGTCATTTTCCGAAGGTCACGGTCCTTAATTGTTGTTGCTGAAGCTGAGTGTGCCATCGCCAGGTGCTTCTTTCCTGTTGAGATGCACTTTTTGGGGCAAGATATGAATTTATTCTCTCTATCTCTCTCCCTCTCATTTATCTATTTCTCTTGGT